TGGGTGGGGGGGGGTGAAGCTGCTCTAATTTTGAGCTCAAGGCCACTGGCAGCAGCGCAGCGCTGCGAATCCGGCGACCCAAGTTCGATTTCCGCTCGCAGCCAAGCTCAAGTGACGATTATCGTCGACTCAGCCTCAAACGAATACCTGCTGCGGTGTGCATACATCACCACGAGGGAGACAAAGGCTGCTGGGCATTGGTGCTGGCCACCCACCCCCTCGTGTGCCGTGCCGGCCTTCATAGGTGCCACTCGCTAACAGCACTTGCCCCTACAGTCTGTTAAGGCTACACGGGGGATATTTGATACGTGCAAGAGCAGTGGTGGAGCGATTAGTGCGCTGCGCTATAAACCTGGCGGCTCCAGTTAGATTCCCGCTTGCGGCCAATTGCAAGTGACGATTATCTGAATCGGTCCTGGGTACTCATTTGAGGCTGAGTCGACCTAGGTGGGAGGCCCAGGACCGGTTCGGATAATCGTCACTGGTGTTGGCCGTGAGCAGGAATCTAAACAGGTACACACACACACAATTACACTTGTAAAACACGCACAAAGACAAAGATCCCCGTGTAGTCTTCACACGCTATTGGGGCAAGTGCTCTGAGCGAGAGCACCTGTGAAGACTGGCAGGATGCAACCTACAAGGGGGTGGGTGTGCCTGAGCACCACGCCCGGCCGCCTTTGCCTTTCCAGTGCTGATGTTTACACACCGCACCAGATCCTCATTTAAGGCTGGGTCGACCTAGGCCCACACATTTGTCACCGATGTTGTAAGCGGGAGAGGAACTCGGGTCGCCGGGTTCGTATCGCAAGTGGGCAAACTGCAGCGCTACACACACACATACACAAAAAGACAATCACAAAAACATATGCACATTTACACAAACAAAAACACTGGCAAAAACAAACAAAAAAACAGCAGCCTACTAAAACACACTTTCACCGCGAGCTTTTGAGGTCTGCAAGACGCGATGACGTCGATTTGTGCCCCTCCACCCATTAACTACCCCCCCCCCCCCATGCCGCCCCTTCTCACTGCTGCCATCCGCCGTGATGCCGGGGCGACCAGCCCCCCCCCCCCCACAGACCGCATGGGGAGAAGGGCGAGCGGGCGGGAGTGGCAGGAGGGGTGGTGGGGGTGGTGGGGGGGGTGGTGGGGGGGGTGGTGGGGGGGTGGGGGCGGTGGTGGCAAGGGTGGTGGGGGGGTTGGTGGGGGGGGTTGGTGGGGGGGGTAGTGGGGGCGGTGGTGGGGGGGGGTGGTGGGGACGGGTGGTGGGGGCGGTGGTGGGGGGGTTGGGGGGGTTGGTGGTGGGGGGGTTGGGGGGGGTTGGTGGTGGGGGGGTTGGGGGTGGTGGTGGGGGGGTGGTGGGGGCGGTGGTGGTCGCTCGCTGGGACCGTGGCCCCACCCCCTATCCCAACCTTGCCCCCCCCCCCTGCAGAGAGGAAATTTGGGGCTGTGGTTTTTTTTTTGAGCGCTGCTGTGCAGACAATGGGGGGAGGGGGGGGCAGCGCCTCATCCTCGGGGCGAGCACAGGAAATTTGGCGGCTCGCTCTTTAAGCCGCCTTCTTCTCGGTTGTCTGCGTGGCCGCAGCGGTTTGTTGTTGGGAGGGCGGCGGTGCGTGGTGCCTGTAGCAGGGGGGGGGGGGGTGGGGGTGTGCCCACCTCTTCAAAGTAGGATGAGAAACCAGAAAAACAAACAAGGCTCTCCTCCTCTTGTAGATGGCTGGGGAAGTTGGGCAACCCAAGGGCCCCCCTCCCCCCCATTCATTCCCCAGCAGCAGCAGCAGCACCGCGCCCCACCACACGGCTACAACCGCCACAGCAGCGATGTGACGACTTCCCGTGATTTGATTCAATAATAGTTTTTGTTGTTTCGGTTTTTTATAATAGTTCATTGCGTAGAATGGGGGGGGGGGGGGGGTGGTTGAGGTTGGTTCTCTCACGCTTGTAACAATTTTGTTCCGTCTCATGAGCCTAAATTCAAAATCGCATTTAATCTGCGTGCAATATCTTCGGCGCGTTTTGCTCCTTGACCTGCCACTCCGTCATGAGTCTCAACTACTGGGCCATCAGCCGTTGTAGCGAACCCATGATGTCCCTGCCCAAACCAAACTCCACTTTTCTTAACTGCCAATATGATGTCTCTACTTTGCAACGGGACTCTGATCCGTGCGTCCCTCTTTCCGTCACTCGGTGTGATTCCAAGCTTGCCTCCACTCTCCACGCTTCTTTGCATCACCTTTCAGGTTGTGTTACATGTGCTCGGTCAGGGTCTACGTGTTTGATCCTTGTCATAGCAGTGGTGAGATGTTAGCTACCTCGCCTGGTATGCAGGAGTGCGTGGGTTCGATCCCGACCCTGACGCCTGTATATTTGGAGTTTTCTTGTTTTCTTTCTTTCCCCGTGGTTGCGGGAACATTTTAGAATCAACATGCGTGTAGACTGGAGTATTTGGCTGCTATACATTCCACACGATAAGCCACTTCGTTGAGCTGTCATTTGTGGCCAGGTCGATTCTAAAAAGAGCTATATAGCTCAGTGGGCCTTAAGTGGCAAATACAAAAAATTGCTTAAAAAAATATAGTGTAATTGCCACGCACTGCTGGGTACGGTGATTTTCATGATAAAATTCGATTTCCCAAAAGCACTCCACTTATTACACTTAAATATGCCTCAATAACATAACTTAACGTTGGTGTCGAACAGCCCAGGACACACAACCTGTATGATAAAATCTGCTTGCTTCTTCGGTGACTTGTGCTATTGTTAATGAACATCACAGGGCATGATTGGAGAAGTCCCCTTATACTCCTCACACGTGCGTTGTAACCGCACGAGTTCAAGTCACGCTTGATCTTAATTTATATTTATCGAGCGCCTTTGAACAGGGCGCTTAACATTAAAAAAGGTATAAACAAAGACGTTATTTCGATGGCAGGGGCGTGCAGGCGATGAGGAATGGGTGGCCATGATCTCGGGTAAGTAGGGGTTAGGAAAGGGGAGTGGAGGGAGGCTTTAATAAAGCATAACCTCGCGGTTTTTTCATTACTGCTTTTATTTTTAATATCTACTCATACATTCGCTTGTTCGTTTCTAGTCCGAAGAGATGCTCGTACTGTCACGGTGCATCCCAAACAACAGGGATAGTTTCTACGCATCTATTTAAAGTCCCCTAACTAGAGGAACAGTGTCGTAAATACCGAGTCTGCAGGCAGTGCAACTGCACTGGAGCCCCATCGGCCGTCGGGGCCCAGGTGCTTGCGGAGAGAGAGAGAGAGAGGAGATTGGACAGGGGAGGCCCATTGCCCTTCTCAACCACGCCGCCAATAAAGTGCTTTACAACAGAGCGTGAAACAACGTGGCCATTTGGAAGGCATCCTGTTGCATTGTCGTCGGTGAGCCCACAATGCCGATATTCAGCATTGCCGTGTGAACGGTGAATCCTAAACTCTAAAGACCCGACCAGGCTGTGTCACGGGAACACGTATTTCTCAGCCTGGTGGGTGACCGAGACAGCCTTGGGTTTCTTCTTTATTGAAAGCATCGGGTTACGTACATTAAATCACTCGGGGAGCAATCAATTACGGAGTCGCATCACTGGGACACCGCGAAATGGATGGCGGTCATCGGGCGTCAGCAGCAATCTCCAGCTTCACCCAATTAACCTCGATGAATCCCGTGGGGGGCTCATGTCAGCACCTGTCACTCACCCCGTCAGCCGCCCCCCACACCACCCAACCACCCAACCACCTCATGCAAATGCCAGACACTGAGAGCTGGAGGTGTAACGATTCACCACCTCGGAGAGTCAATGAATGGTCTTGATCCAGGGTCACGGTTCGAATCGAGAATCGTTTGTTATTTCCTAACACCGGTGATAGTAGTGGCCACGAGCAGCTGCCCGGGGTTACGTGAACACATTACATACGTAATCATCGTCAGTAATGATCTATCCACTGCTGGATGAATGCCTCCTGAAGCCACCTGCCATCTCTTGTGGTCTCACAATGCAGCACTCCCTTCTTGCTCCGGCATCACGAGCAGATTGCATTGCTCCACGCTATTCGTATTGGCAGGCACATTTCCTCCTTTGGCTACCAGTCCATCGTTGGAGACGTCGCACAGTCCGTGCGATGTCTCTAACTGAACTCGGCCAAGAGCAGTTGCATATAAACTCATCACACGTCGGTGTGTGGAGCATCCTGGGTTACAGGATATAGCGGCACAATTCTGTGTCTCCATTTATATAAAAGGAGCAGCCTTGAGAATACTGGCTCACGCCACTGCTGGAGGAAGGGGCTGCACTCGCACAGACTGTAGAGCCGCAGACCGGTACCGGTCCGTGGCCTGTTAGGAACCGGGCCGCACAGCAGGAGGTGAGCGGTGAGTCCACGCGTGGCCCGCCCCCATTATTTTATTTACCACTTCCGTCCGCGCCTCTTTCCCGCGCTGCACACTTGTCTCAGTCACAGTGTTGGTAAGCCCACAAGCTGCTAACCCCTAGTAGCCACAATGAGTAAAACACAAACGTCGCTGGAAAGCTTCTTTGAAAAGGGGGACAGACCCAATGATGACCCCCCCCCCCTCTCCGGTTCGTGAAAAAATTGTCTTCCACGAAACCGGTCCCTGGTGCCAAAAAGGTTGGGGACCGCTGCTGTAGAGGATATTCTGGCCCACTCTGTCATGCTTGCCATACGCATTGGAAGAGGTGGGAGCCAACCACACTTTACACGTATAAAACGTTTTGTTTTTTAAACCACAAGCTTTCGAGACCAATATCATCATCATCATCATTGTGACCATTCATCAAGATCGTGACCTTTCATCAGGATCGTGACCCTTCAGTGAGTCGCGAGGGGGACAGTTAAGTCGAGTGGGGGGGGGGGGGGCTGCCTGGCCAGCCTCACGTTGAAACCGTTACGCGCGTTAACGGCCCTCCGCCTCTCTGAGAACCCCGAGAAACGGCGCGTGTGCGTGTGCGCGCGCGCGCGTTCCGCCAGGGAGGAGAAGGAGCGGTGGATCCGAGCCAAGTACGAGAGCCGCGCGTTCCTGGGGGCGGCGCCGGCGTGCGAGGTGCCGCTGGGCCAGCAGCTGCTGCGCGCCGTCGTGGAGGACGACCTGCGAGCCGCCGTGCTGCTGCTGGCGCACGGCTCGCGCGACGACGTCAACGAGACGTACGGCGACGGAGACGGACGCTCCGCGCTGCACCTCGCCTGCGCCATGGCCAACGTCGTGCTGGCCCAGCTGCTCATCTGGGTGAGTCGGCTGCCCGCCGCCCCCCACCACCGCTGCCCCCACCGGCTGCCCCCCTTGCTGTGTTGTTGAGAGTTTTCTCGCTCGCACGACAAACGTCACTGTTTATCTCCTCCACCTCCACACCCCACGCCACCCTACCCCGACCCCGCTCCCCTTTTCACCGTCGCTCCGCAGTACGGCGTCGACGTGGGCGCCAGGGACGCGCGGGGACACACGGCGCTCGTGCACGCGCGTCGCGCCAACAGCACCGAGTGCGCGGAGCTCCTCATTCAGCACGGCTGCCCCGACGAGGCCGCGGCGGCAGCAACAACGGTTGCCGCCACGACAACAACAACAACAGCGACGACGACGACAGCCGCCGCGACAGCAGCGGCCGCGGCCGCGCGCGGCTGCAACTCCAACGTCGGCAACAGCAACGCGTCGTGCGGCCGCGGGGATGCCAAGGCGTCGACCAGCATCGTGTGATCACCCGTGGGAAATCACGATCGCTCGCGCCTCTCGCTCCCTCCCCCGCCCGCATCCCATGCCGCTGTGCGGTCGGCACGTGGCTTTTCGCCTTGAAACGTTTCTTCGATGGGTCGTGTCGACGGCTCGGTTGGGATCGGCGTGGTCGACGTCTCCTCCTCCCAAGCCGGGCCACGTGGCCTGGGGAAAGAGCGCCGTGCCTCTGGGACCCTCCAGTGTTGCTGCCGCCTGCCTCCTTCGCTACATCGCGAGCATTCCGTTTCGGCTCCGAAATTAACGTCATGTATTTAAGCCTGCGTGTATATATACACGTGTATCCTGCGTGGCGAGCACCTATGAAGGCCGGCACGGCACAAGAGGGGTTGAGTGGCCGGCCAGCACAACGCCCGGCCGCCTTTGTCTCCCTCTTGGTGACGTGTGCACAGCGGAGCAGGTACTAATTTGAGGCTGAGTCGACCTAGGGGAGGCCCAGGATCGGTTCAGATAATTGTCACTGGTGTTGGCCGTGAGCATAAATCGAACTCGGATCACCGGGTTCGTAGCGGAGCGCGCTAACCGTTTCGCGACCGCTCCCCTTCATAGGTGGTCGCTAAGAGCACTTGCCCCAACAGTCTGTTAAGGCTATCTTTGTTTTTGTCTTTGTATCCTGTATAGCGCATAGCACCTCAGGTACCGACCACGGACTCACCGTTGTCATCGTCTCTTCGTTCGAACATTTGAGATGGAGCAGCTCGAAGCGAAAACTCCAGGGCTGTGCAAATTCCGCAGCTGCGTCCAGACAAGGCATGCACTGCAGAAGTTGTGTTTCAACAAAGAACGGAGCTCATTTACTGGCTGCCGAGTACAAATTCCAGTGGCAGCATTTACTCCCATATAGCGTTTGCCAAACCCTATTTTTTTTTAACTCACCATGGTATCCCATGTTTACGAATCTTCTTTAAGAGTACAGATGATGTAGTTAACACACAACACGCACACCCCTTGATTGCTACACATGCCCCACGTGATATCGAGAGCTGTCAACGTCACTGGGATGCACGTGTACGCACACGCACGTGTGCACGCACGCACGTGTGCACGCACGCACGTGTGCACGCACGCACGTGTGCACGCACGCACGTGTGCACGCACGCACGTGTGCACGCACGCACGTGTGCACACACGCACACATACAACAGCGATAGCGTCAGTTTAATCAGCGCTCTCTGTTAGACCTGCGAGCTGCGTTAATTCATCATCGGGCATGTGCAGTGCATGTGTGTACGCGTACGCCCCACGCAACAGATAGCGCCGATTCAACTAAAGCGTGCGTATGTTTGCGAGTGTACCACGTGACTTAGCGGGAAGTGTTTAGCGATCATCCGGTGTGGCCAGCGTGCTGGCTTAATTTCTATTTGAACCAACTGATCAACATGGCAAGGCATACAATTGTGGGCCACAGTAACCTGGCTCTAATCCATCACTTGTTTTGCCTTGGTCACAGTGGATCATTAAATGTTTTTATTATCTTTAAAACAATGTCATTCATTAAATGTTAACTCTACAGCGCTCACAGTGGGATATCTTCAGAGCGGGAGATAAACCGTCTTTTTTTAAGAAATCAAATAATGTTCCCTCTCTCACTCTTGAATTCTCGCCCACCTCCACATGCTAATTAAATCGCTAAAGATTGGTGAACAAGGTAACTTCGTTAAACCTGCAGTGTGATTGATCAAGAGTAGGGGCATTTAATAAGTCATCGTGATCGTAGATTTCATATCACACTCAGATTTCAGTCAAACTATCGAGAAGTCGCGCACATCGGAGACTCCGTCACTACCTCAGCTTCATAACATTCATGACCCACCGCATTACAGCGTTCCGAGTTTACAAATTCACCTCCGCTAAAGCGCCGATTAATTACAGGCCGTGTGAGCCTGATGATTGCTTCACACATCCGTGGTGGCTGTGAGGCGCTTTGATTAAATATAAATCGGGGGCTTTTCTGTTGCACCTCGACACGGGAAGATCGGGTAAGACACGGACAACATTCATTTGCTCCCTCACCTCACGTGGGAGACGTGCAAAAGCTTCCCCGCGTAGACGTTAGCAGCTTCACAAGCGCACTCGCACCGCGAGGCCTGCCTCTCGTTTAAATTGAATCGGTGCTCTCAATTTCATTTGGGAGACGTACACAGCGAAATAAATATCCTCCGCGCGCCGTTTTCCGGCTGTTCTGGCAGGTGCTGTGATCGAGCACCAAGCTATTGCGGTAGGAACGGACGCGTAAGAGGGGGGTGGTGGTGGTGGTGTTTGCCAGCACCACACCCAGCCACGAGTGCTAATATTTACACGTTTAAGGCCGAGTCGATCTAGGAAGAGCCCAGCACCGGTTGAGATAACCACTCGCCTCTTAGGCATGGCCAGGAATCGAACTCCGGTAGGTGGTTTTGTAGCACACGTGAGATGACCACGAAGGTTCCGCTACCCCATTAGAGGTTTGGCCACTGACATATCACAGTACATATACGTACACACACACCACACTCGGTTCCTTCGTTAATTAGAATCCGGGGCAGTCGCTCCAGCACGTGGAACGAGTTGAGCAATCATAGGACGCGTGCAGCGTGTAACGACTTAGTTTGTATTTGCAAGGGGGTTACAATCATTAAACAACTGGCAAATTCTGGGTGTGGGTGGTGGTGAGTCGAGGACTTAAGTTGGGGAATCTGCGCCACTGATGGAATTTCATTAATATCTATACGTATTACAACAATGTATGCGCCTCCGAAAGGCCCGCTTCAAAACACAATCGCAGTTCTACATCAAACTTTGATTTCGTAAAAAAAAAAAAACTGTTTGGTTCTAGAAGAGCGAAAAAACGTGATGTTGGTGCCCATGAATCCTTGAAAAATAATAATTTATAATGTAATACATTTAGGTGTTGACGTCATAGTTCTCATAGCGCGAGGCTGGTACCCCCTAAATGAAGGCGCTGCTGTGATTCTGTAGGAGTGAGGCTCCAAATACATTGATGGCACCTGTGAACAGGTAAGCGAACACACGTGGTTCGGTGTGGCGCTGGCAAACACCTCCACACATGGTGATTCGCTTGGTGCATACTCGCCGGAACCAACAGCACCGCCTGAATGACCTTATTGTTTAATTGTCATGAAACGCAACGCTTTTGCTGCCAATGTGTTATTGAGTCGTTTAATCTTTTTTTACACTTATGCACCACTGCCAACGGAGTATCACAGTTGTTTTGTGTTGTTCCGTAAACGCTGTGTGTTTTTCTAAGTATCCGACTGCTGTTTATCACGAATAACACATTCATAAGAATACGCCAATTGAGATAGCTTAAGGTAACCTTTTAATACTAGTCTAGGTCAGTGTGGCGTACGTACGAGATACAAACGCGTGGAATGATGGGTCGTCATGAACGCAGTTTGAAATACAGTCGCGTGGCACCTGAGATGTATGGCAGTGGGATCATATCGCAGTATCTTAATCTCTCGGAGGGTGATTACGTGATGAAACAAATACGAATTAATTGGCCACGTGTGCCAACGTTTAAACCCCGCGTGGAAAAAAGATTGATTCTGCCAAGCCTTGTTATGCCGTGGTGAGGCATTTCGTCCAGCAGTGGATACCAGTGGAAGGCTATGCGCCTTTGAGTGGTGAAAATTATACCAGATGTGCATCTTTATGAAACTCCTGGAAAAAAAACCCATCTCCTTGGCGATTCTGTCCATTGTTGGCGATGGAGACATCGACACGGTTTCGCCAAAATCGGACAGAAAAGCTCCATGGCCGAACCCACGTGTGGGTGGGTGTCTGTACCGGGTGCTCCAGATGTCTTGTGGCCCCCAATTAATTGAACCCATGATTTGTTTTCATTTGCATATTCATTTCTGGTTTAGAGAATTAAATGGGGGATCACAACACATCTGGACCCACCCTGCACAGTTTGGGCAGTCACGTGCGCCCACGTGTGTGTGTGTGCTTTTCTACAAGTCTGTACCAGAGTTTCCCAAACTCCAGTCAACACCGTGGTCTGCCTTGCCATGTATTATCCCCTCTCGAAACGCGAAGTCGTTGCACGCTGCATGCGCCTGATGATTGGTAACGCGTCACGTTGGCAGAATCTTGATACACGAATCGGCGCTGCCCACGGTCACGTGAGTCACGCGCGTACACACACACAGTCTTATAACAGTGCTTTCTCACATTCAGTGTGACGTTTAGCAATCATCGGGTGCGTTTAGCGTGTAACGAGTCGTGAGGAATATGCGTTTTTTAGGAAATCCCGGTAGATACACACACGAGTCGAGACCGTACGATTTTGAGAACGAGGTTTTAGAATTACGCGTGAAAATAATTGCACTTGGTTATTTATGTTTTGATGTGGCTTGTGTGTTGTAGTAGCCCCTATAAGTAAATGCACTTTTATGTTACCCCCTTTTCGTGAATATATTTAGCACAGAAAGATGACGCCTTGAAGCTAAAGGCTAGTGTCATATTGTACGACCCTCGTTCTCAAAACGCGTAGGTCTCGCTGCGGTGAGTACTACGTAGGCTGTATACATACAGACACGTGGTTAGGGAGGCCCGTATCAAGCAGTGGATAATATCGCGGCCCATGACGTATATATGGACACATTGAATTTACATATGGACAAAAACGGCCGTGGCACATTCCCGTGGCGAGTTGAACGATCCCGTCTTGTCGACGAGATGCAGCAGACCTCGGCACGCTTTAAAGCGGCACAAATTCGTCCGCACGCGAATTGATCCCCAGCCAACTTCGTGTAGATGTCGCGCGCAACGTTTCCATTGCGTCTTCGTGGTCGTTTGGCTGCATGGAATCTGCAGGAGCCTCTCCAGCTTAGTGGGGGAGGAGGAGGGTGAGCGAGCCACCCCGTGGCTCACAGACACGCATGCGGCTCGCGGTGCAGTTGAATGAAGTTGGTGGCCCGATAGAGATGCGGCGTCTACATTTACAAAAAAACAATAACTTTTCAATCGCAATTTTATTTGAAAAGGGCGGTGGGGAAAAGCCCGAAAATACGGCTCGCAGTTTCGAAAATGTACGTATGTATGTATGCATGCATGTTAAACTTCTTTCGCACCGTACATAACCAACCGTACTAATTGGATGTACGGGGGAAGGACAACAATCTAAACACAAAACGCCGTTCTAAAGAAATTCGTTTTCGATCTAAAAGTGCATAGTTCCCGTGGCTTCCTAATATCGGAAGGAAGAACGTTCCAGACGGCCGCAGAAGCGCATCCGAAAGCGCCACGCGACGCGGTGACCGCCGTCTTTGTTCGATGGGCAGTAGCCCAAAAGCCGCCGCGTCTGCTGCGAGGATTGCCGAAGTCCGAAGTTCGCGTGACGGTTTTATGCTCCATGGCGAGATCAGCAGCACTGTGGCAAGCACTTTGCGTGTAATGCGTGCGACCTTTTAAAACGGGGCTCTCAACCATTGAAAGTTTTCACTTTACAGTAATACCCCGATTTGCGTACACCCCCCCCCCACCCCTTCTACGTTTTGCAAATACGTCGTCACTGTATTAATACCTCGACCAGTTTTGCGTCGCATCAACTCACACTAACGTCGCTCACTTTCTCGTATCCGCACGGCTTCAGCCCCTTCACCTCATACCTACTTACTACCCTGTCAATTGTTTTTAATTCACAGCGTTTCAGTATCCGTCGCACCTTTCAGGAACGCATCGCCGACGTAAACCGGAGTGCAGCCGTGCAGTCGTCGGAAAACTTGAGCGCGCAGTTTGATTTATCGTGAGCGCGACTGCAGAAGAGGCCTCTCGCAAGGGAAGCTTGACGACATTGGCAATTAAAGACGGGACGAGACGGAGCGATGAATCCGTTAATTAATTGGCACGCCACTCGCAATTAGCGCGACGCAGCGCGCAGTGCGTCGCGTGGGCATGAGCGTTTCAGTGTCCGCGTCTCTTTGCACCGATATCGCCACTGAGCTCCCCCCACCCCACCCCCTACCTCCGAGCGGTCTGTATATATCTGTTTTATATTGTGGCGGGATATACTTTTGACAAAGGCTGGTTTGCCCTGTATTTATAACGTGTGTGTACATAAACGAGTGGCCGCGCCGTCTCCGAGCTGAGTGTTGACAACAGCTAAAAACAAAACGCCGCTCCTCGTGACACTGCCACGGTGCGCATTCTGCACGTGGCACCGATCGCGTCTTCTCTACTCAATTACGAATGACAGCCGTGTTCTATATATACACACACGCGCGCGCGTGCTTGCTTGGTGATCGCTAGCGCACGTGGTGTGCACGACAGATTAAACGTTGAGATACAGAGGATCGATTGTCTGCGAGCGGGTTCCATATGTGTGGACGTAGGGAGCGCTGATTACAATGAAGAGGCACGCCTCTTGTGGTTGCGTGTGCGTGGTTGAGAGCGGTCGCCAAGTGATTATCGCACTGCGCAAATGAACCCATGCAGCGTCCCGAGTTCGATGATAGTGGAGAATATTTGAACCGGGCACTGGGCCTCCCCTAGGTCGCCTCGGCCTTAAATGAGTACCCCGATACAGTGTGTAAACATCAGCACACGGGCGTGGTGTTGGCCACCCATTCCCCCGTCTCGTGCCGTGCCGGCCTTCATAGGTGCTCGCTCACAGCACTTTCCATACGGTGTACAGAGTTCCTATTCGAATTAAAGAGACCCCGTGGGACGTCGTTTCGCCGTAATCGGGCGCGTGCAGCGCGTAACGACTTTAATTCTATTTGAACGGAGGCCGGTGGACATGGACACGTGTAACGTAGTGGGCCGCGAGGAGTGAAGGTTTGGGAAAGCCCTGGTCTATACCTCTCCGAGGAAACGCATACATCCTACCTGTGGTTGTGGGTCCAAGGAGGTTGAAACTCCCCGTAGGAGCTGTTGTTTTGTATCTGCACATCGAGACGTCGTTGGCCCGGCTCTCTGACGTGAGCTTGAAAGGCGCGTCGGCGATGAGCGCCTGGCCATCACGGATGTCCGAAAACGATGGCGATAGTGCCGGTGCGTTAACGCTGCCGTGATGGCATTGCCTATGCGCATTGCGATGATGAATGGGGGTGACGCCACTCGAGTGCTATGATGGTGCTCCCGCGCCGGTAGCTTAGTATTACACGCATAAATCAAAGTAAGAATTTGTTTTAATGTACGCGGAGACGCATATGTGAAGAAGACATTTGTCCGCATACTTACGTTGTTACATGCATAGCGTATTTTAGATTGTAACGCAAGTGGCGCTGCGACGTCGCGAGAACGCGGACTGTGCAGCGTTAACTCAAAGTAATTAACGGTTGCGTCTCCTGTCCGATGAGACGAAGCTGCACAGACAGCCGTGTTGATAGCACACCGCCGCCTCGGTGTGTGTCTATAAGACGATTTAGAAAGAGCCGGGATGGTGTTCTTTGGTCCGTGTGTTCTTGTTGGAGAGAGAGAGAGAGAGCGCGCGGCATCGAGGCGTAACACGCGAGCGAGTGAACCGCCGAGCAAAGTCAAATCGCTTCACCACTACACGAGCCCACGCAGCTGCTCTGAGCCGTGTACAACTCATCGGTCCAATTCAAATCGCTTCGTTTCGCGGATCAGCGGTCGTGTTTGAGCAATAACGAGCCCGGGCTGTCCGCAGTTGTCTGTCTCCCTT